CTTATTTTAGGAACAGCACTTTACATATGGTGATCCCCACTTGTGTTATGAACAGCACTTTACATATGGTGATCCCCACTTGTGTTATGAACAGCACTTTACATATGATGCTCCCCACTTATTTTAGGAACAGCACTTTACATATGATGCTCCCCACTTATTTTAGGAACAGCACTTTACATATGATACTCACCCCTGATTTTGAAGAATGTGTACTTTTCGTGTTATTCACAGAAGGATATTTTAAGGGAAAAACTTGTACTGTTTATGTTTGTGAATTGGAAGCTACTTTTTCTTTGGGTAAATATGTAACACATACAGGGTATTCATAAAGTGCGTACAACTTTTCCGAGCAACCGTTAGGGGAACGAAGTGTGGAATACACAGGAAAAGTGTTTTATTTATAAGCATGGGGAATCATAGATATTCCATTCAAATAGTTTCTGGAGAGACTTCATCTGCGGAATAGGCTGGAATATAAGCACAAGATGGAACAAGCAACAATGAATCAGTTGATAGCAATGGAAGGCCTAACGTGATGTTAGATTTGACGTTTGGTGGAGCTGCTGTATCGTTAATATGGCTGCAGTACTGAAGTATCGTCGCAGAACCAACATAATGTGTCGGACATGCAAACTGATGCTGAAGTAGATTGGAATCAAAGTTAGTTAAGAGTTGACATACAGTTAACTATAATAACAGAGTTAACTATAATAATTTTATAACACCATATTGATTCATTGCTTTTTTTTTGAGGATTTAACAACGACAAATTTCATGTTTAGCATCACTGAAGCACATTATTAAGTTTGTTTATGTAAGTAGAATTATGACTTACAGACATATATGAAGTTATGAGAAGTAGCCGGGGCCTTCTTAAAATGTCAAGTTGAAATGTGGATCTCGTTTCGTGTAATACAAAACCTCCAGCCGTTGATTTAGATGTAATTTTTGCTTTGTTTATTTGTTGTTTTGTATAAAGCCACACAATGGGCTATCTCTGCTTTGCCCACTACTGGTATCGAAACCCGATTTCTAGCGTTGTAAGTCCGCAGACATACCGCTGGGCCACGGAGGAGGGAGGGGCTTTAATTTTTGCACTAACGACTGTTTAAGCTAATTTAATTTTTGCACTAACGACTGTATAAGCTAATCTAATTTTTGCAATAACGACTGTATAAGCTAATTTAATTTTTGCACTAACGACTGTATAAGCTAATTTAATATGAAAACAAATTTTCGAAAGTTATTATCTAAAAACCAAATACAAATATATATTTACATTTAACACAGTAAATAAAAGTAACGACAGTTCATGAGTGATTATCTTTATTTGTTGTGTTATTGATGTTCTTCTGTCCGAATTAAATACAATTTTATTGTTTCTTCTAAAACACAGAAATGATTTTTTGCTGTTTTTTATTCGTTTGTAAAACAGAGTAGATTATATATTATTGTCATTGGGATGATGGGAGTTGAAGTTAAGGAAGAGAGGTTTTCTTCCTTAACTTCAACTCCCATCATCCCAATGACAATAATATACAATCTATCTTGTTTCACAAACCAATAAGAAAACCTCTCTTCCTTAACTTCCACTCCCAGCATCCCAATGACAATAATATACAATCTATCTTGTTTCACAAACCAATAAGAGAGAAGATGGCGTCAGTGCAGTGTGTGAATTCATGTGGAATCACATAAACAATATGGAGATGTGTGAACTGCCAATAGACACTGTCAGAGAAATCTTACACTTCATCCTTTACAATGGATATTTTCATTTTGACAACACAATATATCTCCAACTCAGTGTTGTCTCAATGGGTAATAGAGAAGGTGTTACTTATGCTGTAATATTTATGCACGTTTTTGAAACATTGACACTTGACAAATGACTTCAAAATACCAACACTGGTCCTGATCTCTGGACTATGGAACCACGATCTCCCTTCTTATTTAATCCAATTTTAAGACTTTCTAAATTCCATAGACCTCAAGATACCAACACTGGCCCTGATCTCTGGCTTAGATATATCGATGACGTGTTTGGATCACGGTCTTCCTTCTCTAATCCAATTTCTAAATTCCATAGATCCCAACATCCAATTCACCAACAATTCTTGACGTTACCTAAAGGATCGACAATGACAATAATATACAATCTACCTT